CCGTGGTGCCGAGGGACAGAGGAGTGGAGCTCGAGGAGTCTTTTGACTTCCCCCTTTGCTGCGGGAGAGTTCAGGACATGGGCACTAACCTGACTTTAGCAGAGAGATGCCGGGAGCTGGAGAAAACGCACATGGATGGGTAGAGCTCTTGGGCCCGCCTGGGGGTGTGCCAGCCACTGGGCAACCCAGGCGCCAGTGGAGAGCGCACTCGCGGGGGGTCCCCCAGAAACACATGGAAGCTTATCTCCTGCCCCTGCAGGTATATGTGCATGTACATGCACACATAGACACACACAGACACATGCTTGCATGCACACACAAACACACACCTCTTCAGGTGATCGTTCTAACTTCGGTGATCGTTCTAACTCTTTTCTACGGGACGTGAGTCGGTGTGGCGATGGCTGGGCTAGGACAGGTCCAGGAGATGCCAATGCCTTCATAGTCTCGGGTCACCTTCTCCATCTGAGCTGGACTCCAGGCGAGCGGTCGTCCGCTCCCCTGACGTCACCGGCATCTGGGAGCCTGGAGCTTCTTAAACACCCCGCAGACCAACCCCACTGCTTTCTCCGTACACTGCCCAAGAGGGGAGACTCCCAGAGGCCACTGCTGCCCATTTCCACCGCGTCTGTCAATTTCCACAATAATGGCCTAGGGGTGCCTGCTCCCTTTATGACTCCAGCCCATGCAGGGCCCAAACTCTTCCCTGGTTTCCTCTGAGCACCAGTCAGACAGGGTGGGGTTTCAGGGAAGGACACAAGCCCTGGTGGCCAAGAGCCATAGTCACTGCAGCTTGGACAGCGCCACCCTGGCTCTCTTTCCGGAGTCCAGGCCCCTCTGGGACCACACGGGGTCTGAGACGCGTCGTGAGCCCCTTCCACGTTCACATTCTCAGGCCTCCTCTGCTCCCTCGGCTGTGCCTCCCGACCTCCCCAGCAGGGATGCTGAGTCCTGGACTTGGAGACCATCCTGGGAAAGCCAGGGGTGGTTAGGGGCTAGCAATCCCCGCTTCTCCACGTCTCTATCCGTAAAGACACGTTGGGGTCCCCTCACTCAGTGGCAGAGCCAGATCAAGGGTGACCTCTGCACGAAGACAAACACCCTGCTTTTCATTTGTGTAGGAGTTTGTATCCTCCAAACCCTTTACTCAGACATGGTGTCACTTAGTATTCACCACAGCTTCCTCTTCAGCCCCATTTTACAGATGAAGAAACTGAGGCCCAGAGAGGTGAAGCCACTGGCGGGTAAGTGGCTGAGCCAGAGTAGGGACTTATGTCTCCTTGCCACCCTTAGGACTCTCTGTTGATGGTGAGGGGTGGGAGGAGTGGCCTCAAGATCTGCCTCCCAGGAACGGGGCCCGAGATTCCTCTAAGATAATAATAGACGTCATGTCCCCCCCACCTCTCCCCCACCCCCACCGAGCTCAGGAAGAGCAGTAGATCAGGCAGCACTGGCCCCGCCCACCAGGTCCCTGGACGCGCAGAAGCCTGTCTCATTCCTGGTCACAGCAGGTGGAAATAGTGTGAACTAATGAAATACTACCAGCAAAGCTAACAGCTGAATCCTCGTCTCCTGGCTCATGGCAGCTAAGAGACTGCTGACCTGCACAGCATGGCCTCTCCCCGCACCCGCTCGGGGGCCTGTGGGGAAGCACTGAGCCGGGGTGCAGGCAGACAGACCAGGCTCTGGTCTCTGCATGCTGTGTGACCTGGGGCAAGTGACTGGATTTCTCTTAACCTCAGTTTTCGTGTCTGGGATCCATTTCTGCAACACATATGTGGAAGCATCCAGCCCAAGGCCAGGCACAGTATTTGGACCCAGGGGATAGAAGAGGACAATGTCCCCACATTGTGTCATCCATCTATCTACCTTGCAGGCTCATGGCTGCTCAGCGTAAGGAGCCCTGAAGCGGGGGGGGGGGGGGGGGCGGAATTCCCCTGAGCACTTCTGCGACCTGGAAGTAGAGGCCTCACGAGGCTGGGGCTCTCTAGACCAGAGGCCACTTTGGTTTCAGGGTGACTCATTCCTTCAGAGTTCAATGTCATCACACTCATCCAGGACATGAAGCGTAAACGTCCCTGGTACCTGGCATGCTTGGGCGCCCCTAGCGATTCACTCAATGAACCGGTCACGGGACTTGACCACCTAAAACCCCTCAGGAGGCTTCCGGGACAGTTCTCGCCCGAAGCACTTTCAAAGAGGTTGACTTTCCGCCCTCTAGCTAATCCAAACCAAGCTAATCATAGCCAATGAAACTCAGTTCTGGGGTTTTGATCAAGATCCTGGGGCAGTGCACTCCCTTATCCCCCTAGGACAGGACCTGAACATTTATAGCACTGCAGGGGACGGCCATCCTGTACCCCTCAGGGGACAGCCAGGCAGAGAAGGCAGCCCCTGCAGCCCAGGCTGTGGCTGAGAAATAAGAGACCGTGTTTTTAGGGCAGTGTTGCGTTCTGGATGGAGCTGTACCTGAACCTTCCTGGACTTATCTGCTACATTTTGTCTTTTTTTAGGCGGTGGGGGGCATGAAATGTTTCTTTTTCTCACTGAAGTATAATTGTCATGCAACATTATATTAGTTTCAGGGGCACAACATAATGATTTGACACTTTCATATGTTGCGAAATGACCACCACAGTAAATCTCTGTGACATCTGCCACGTACATAGTTACAGAATTAATCCAGCCTGAGCCAGGCTCTCTGTCACTTACAGTCAAAAAAGTCCTGTCTGAGGAACCTGCTCCCTGGCATCAGGACCCCTTGTGAAACCAAATGCATAAAGTGGTGGCTGCGTGAATTAGCATAGATGCAGAGCAAAAGGAGCTGAAGAATATTTCAAGACACTCAGGCGTTAGGATGCCCCTACCCCACTTCAGGTGCTATGGGATGGGGGGGCAGATACTTCAGAATTGGAAGGCTTAAACTTAAATCTCAACTCCCTCCCTTATTTACCACCGGTGTGACCTTGGACTAGGCACTAAACCTTCCGAGACCCTATTTTCTCAAGCGTCTGAGGGCTATAATGAGGGTAAAATGAAATAATTTGATACAGCACTAAGTGCAAAGGAGGTCCTTGGGGTAAATGCACCCCGCACGCTATGGGGACATAGGGGGACAGAGAGGGAGGACATCCTGATTTCAGAGAATTCACTTGTGGTGGGCACAGCCCCCAGCATATTTCTTCTGTTGGTCTCTCCAAGGAACAAAGCCACAGGGAAGAAAGAAGCAAGGGCTTCAGGTCAGAGAGAGCTGCGTTTAAGTCCTACCTATGCGCTGTGACCTCAGGCAAGTTGCATAACCCCCCTGAGCCTTCTCCCTTTGTTAGTAAAATGGGGAAGGCAATGCCTACCTCAGAAGGAGGTTCAAGGGCAAAAGCATAAAATGCAGTGTACAACATACCTCGCATATCGTTCAAAAATGAGGGTGATTATTTTCCCAGGCCCTGCCCTTCCTCAAGAGTTGGTCCTCAAGACTCTGCCACATGGCTGCCTCCCTGAACTTAGCCATACCCGTGATCTTGGCTCCTTGGCCTCCCTGATGACCTCCAAAGCTCTGTGTCCAGGCCCAGCCCCTCGCCAGAGCTCAGACCCCCTGGGTGTCTCCACCAGAATGTCTCCCAGGCACCCCTAACCCAGCACAACGTCCCGGCTTGTCCACTACTCCCTGCGTGACTTGGGCCCATCCCCTGGCCTTGGTTTAGTGCTTTATAACACGAGCGGGTTATAGTTGATCACTACGGAGTCTCTCCTGACATCCTAAGATTCTCAACTTCAGGACGTCACCATGCCAACTTGGCCCAGCCTCCTCCCCACCAGACTCAGTGCCTTCAAAAGCAGTGCCTTCATTCTCCAATGGACCCCAGCTTAAAAACTTAGAGTTAACTTGGATTTGTCCATCACAGCCCCTAAGTCTAGGAGAGTCTTCTCAGAAATGCTACCCAGTCTCCCCCGTCCTGACTTCATCACCCTGGCCCAGACGCCCGGCACATCCAGGCAGCACACTGGCTTCCCCGTCCAGTCCGCCCTCTGCTCTTTCCGCCCCTGGAGCCAATGGTCAACGAAGGGCTGATGTAGCTTCCCTCCTCATGTCCCAGTCAAGAGCTGGACTTGACCGTTGACAACGTTAGCACCCTGGAGATTCTTTTTAAGGTTGAGGATGAGGAGAGGAAACTTTGATGGTGTTCATAATAAGTATTTGTCAAATTCACTCATTCACTCGTACTTTTCAAAACACCTCCAATCCAATGCAGATTGCTCCAGCGTTCCCTTTGTGACTCTCAGCAAAGCTCTGGGCCTTTGCTCCGCAAAAGCGCCCTTGCCCATGACTTTTTGCATATTTCCGGGGGTTCATAGCCCCCATGGCCCATCTGTAGGGCAACGTTTGCCCCTGCTTGAGCTCATCTTACAGATGGGAGACTGAGATGCAAAGAGAGGAAGCAGAACGTTGTCAGAGAACACGTGGCTCTTGCCTTCCGGCCAGGCTGCGCAGCACCTCCTGAGGGCGCCGGGTCCGCGGCTCTCTCAGGCCCACGGCTCTGAGTAGGAAATCCTGTAACACTGAACGTCTTTGTGCTCCGCTCCCTCATCCGTGCAAGAGGGACCAGGCCTGAACTGCGAGGCCATAGTGAGATGACGTGTGGACAGGAACCCAGCCCAGCCCTGGGCACGGAAGGCAGTTCCCGTGCCATCCCTTCGCTGGCCTTTTGCCTCTTCCCCTTGCAGGATTTTGGAGGACAGAAACATTGCTGCCATGTAAAGTGGTCATGGAAGGCTTCGTGGAAGAGGAGAGCTTGGCCTGAGCCTCAATTTTGGGTGATGAAGGGAGGCAGGGGCCAGGGTTATTAATAGGCCCAGCTTGATGGGCCCAGGGAGACTGAATGTGATACAGACACCCAGCACCGCAGTTGGGGAGGGAGTACCTGACACCGGAAGGGGAGGGGGCCGAGGGCTGGGGGGAGCTGTGCCTCCCAAAATAGCCAGAGGGGAAGCCTATATAGGTGGCTATCCCACCACCAGGCGCACTTCCCGACAGGACCTCCCACCAGCCCAGCCTCTCACTGCAGGTCCCAGCCCCCACCCCCAACCGAGGTGAGTGGCAGCTACTGAGGTTAGAAGAGGATGAAGGGATCCCGTGGGGAGGAGGCCAACTGGAAAGGACAGCCCTCTCTTCCCTCCCTCCAGTGACAGGGGGCTGGGGTGAGGGCCCCGAGCAGTAGGCCGCTGGGGAGTCCAGGCCCCAGAGCAGGACTTCCTGAGACCTCCTCCGGGTGTGGCCCGGGCCACACTCTTCCTCTGGCTGGGCCTCAGGCTGCCCACCTGTAAAACCGGAGGGGTGGAGCCAGACTTCCGAGGACTGGGTGACGACGCCGTCAGTGGGCAGGGGGGCAGGAGGAAGGGGCACGGAAGATTGATGGCTGAAACGACGTCATCTGGTGCGGAGGCGGGCGGATGTCAGCCCAGAGAGGGCGTCAAGCCAATGCAGTGGGAGAGAGAGAGGAAGGAAGACCAGGATGGGCCTCTGTTGAGCCTTGGCCACGGGGATCAGAGTCTGGGTACTCAACCGTGTCGGACGTCACAGGGCTGGGTCCTGGGCACCGGGGAGGAGCCCCATGGAGGTGTCACTAAACTCCAAGTCAGAGCCCTGGGGGTGGGCCCCTCTTGGCCACTGCCTCTCCGTAGGTCCTTAGGCCACTCACTGACCCTGTGTGGCCTCAGTTTCCCTACCAGTGTAACGTAAGGGTCCTTCAGCTGGGAAACAGCTGAGGCCTCGGGAGGGAGCTGAGTTGGGGGTGACTTGGTGGCCTCGGCACATCCAAGTAAGCAGCCCGGCCAGGGCGGGGGCCACAGGGCAGCTGAGGGGGACGAAGTCCGCCCACTGAAGGAGATCGGGTCCGGAGCTGCAGCCTGGGTACCTTGGAGGCCAGATGGCAGGCTGTGGCCTGAAGGAGCTGACTCACAAGGAGGGGGACAGCCCGGGCCAGCAGCGTCCTAAGGTTTCCGGGAAGGGCAGCCGTCCAGGGCCCAGCTGAGTGTTGACAGTGAGTGCAATGGAACCTGAGCTACTGGGCCGCCGGTCGTTCTCCCCCCACCCCAGCCAAGGGCCGCCCGTCTCAGCCCCTGCCCTGCCGCCCACATGCCTTACAAGGGACCACCAACACCATCAAAACAACGGAGAGAGACAGAAGTCCAGAGAGGGTGATGGCCACATCCTGAGGTCACACAGCGACTTCGTGCAGCCCCAGATCTCGAACCAGGGCCTCCTCACTCCCTGTCCAGTGCTCCACATGCTCCAGAGGCAGGTGTTGGTGGCCGCCTGAATCCCCGGAGACCGTGGGAAAGAATGCAACTGGTTTCTGGCTGCATAAAGATTAGGAAGTGTCACATTTCCAGAGATGACTGTTCAGGCCATCAAACCTCCTTTGGTTGTCTGGAAAGTGTGGTCTGAAGGTGCCGCCCTCTCCCCAAACCTGGGCCTTTCCATCTCCAAGGCAAGGGAGGGTGTGTAGATTCCAAGTGGCCTCTCATGTCCTAGCCGCCTCCCAAAATGTATAGTGGGGACAGGGGGAGACCAGGAAAACAAGCGGTTACCAGGATCTGAGAAGCGTTCTTTGAAAAGTCAGGCTGAAAAAAAAAAATTCGGTTTTGGCCTGCGCATCCCTGACCAGACATGGGACGGGGCACAGGAGCGGAGCCAGGGAGGCCCGCCTACCTGTGCCACCCCCGCTCGGCGGCCCCCGGTCAGGTTTCCAGACCTCAGCGCTCAGATTTTGCAGCATAAAATTTGCATCCAGGACAGACAGGAGCGGAGGCTGAGGTAGGAGCAGAGAGGGACCAGCAGGGCCTGGGACCCCAGGCAGGTGTAAGTCGGGCCCCTGACTGTCCCTGTCCTCCCCGAAGCAGCGGGACATGCTCCTAGGTGCACCGACCCTACTGCCCTCCTGCCTGCCCTTGGCTGAAGGCGAGCCCTCCAAACCCGGCTGGTGACGCGGGAGCCCCAGAAAGTCCAGAGGTCGCCCCTTCCCCCGGCGCCCTGGCCGCAGCCCCTGGGATGGCGAGGACCCCGGCGGGGGCGTGGCGGGGGCGGCTGTGGGGCGCGAGGCCCCAGGGAGCCGCTCTGGCTGCGAGCCCAGCCCCGCGCCCCCTGGCTCGGCGCCAGGCCAGCCCGCGTGCGCCGGGCGCACAGCACTGCAGCGCCGGTCATATGAGCAGAAATGATGAGAAAGGCACTTTTTAATCTTTTCGCACTTGCTCTGCCCGCTCAAACAGTTGCAGGATGTCGATGACAGACTTGCTCAGCGCTGAGGACATCAAGAAGGCGGTGGGGGCCTTTGCCGGTGAGCAGTGCGCTCCCTCCCCAGCCCTCTCCCCTCGCCCGCCGCCCTGGCCCCTGCACCCCGCGCCCCTCCGCGTATGCATCCGGGCGGGCGCCGGACGGGCGGGGAGTCGGGGTCCTCGGCATTTCCCAACTTGTCCCGGCGGGACTCGGATCGGGTGGGGAGGCCGGGCACCCTGCCCGAGAAGCCGAAAACTTGCTCAGCATCCCCGGGACGCTGAGTTGGGGCGCCACAGTCTGGGTGTCCCAGCTGCGAGGACTGGGGTCCCGAACCAAGGGCAAGGACCCGGGGGAAGACAGGACCTTCGGGTCCTTGGGGTCCTTGTGAGCGCTCTGGACTTCCCCTTTAAGGCACCGGGAAGGGGCTGCAGGCACTACTGTCCCACGCGTTCTGGACAGGCCTCTTCTCACCCAGCGGTGGGCAGGGCTGGCCCCGCCGACGTCCGAGCCCCCATCCCGGGGCTCAGAGTCCCCTTCCAGCGCCCGAGAGTGAGGTGACTTTCCGAAGCTGGCGCGCTGCTCTGCCCGGCCCTGTCTGAGCAGCCTCCTTGGGCTGCCCAGGGAGGGAAGCGGGCTGTCTCACCTTTCCGAGCAGCCCAGGACTTGACAGCTTAGCTGCCTCCGGCTCCCTCCCTCCTGTGCCCGCGACCAGGGAAACGGAGGCCAGGAGAGGGTCTGAAACTAGCCCAAGGTCACCTAGCAGGCATCAGGGGGGTCAGAAGTAGGTCTTGGTCCCCTGCCCTAGTGTTAGTCCTGGGTGAGTGGAGGAGAACGGGACTCTTGATGGGACCCTCCCCCGACACAGGTGACTCCGCTGCGCGCTTCCCCGGTCGTCTTAACGAGGAGCTCAGCTCAGGACCCAGCAAGCTGGCAGGGGGATTGCGTTCCCCCTCTGCCGGGGCCTTCTCCCCTGGGCACGAAGGAGCTGGGGGAAGCCACCCCCGCCCCAGGGTGCTGACATAACCCACTGCCTTCTCCCTGGCCCACCTTGCTCCTTCCAAATAGAGTCTTAACGGGGAATTCCAGGGAGACTTCTAACAGCCACCCCCCCCCCGCCCCGCCCCGCCCCACAACTCCCACCAGAATTGATTTCCACAGCAAAGCCAGGACTTCTGAGTTCTCTCCTTCCCCCTCCTATGTGTGACCTTGAGAGAAATGTGCCCTCTCTCTGTTGATTTTCTGGCAATATGACCTGTGGCCAAGGAAAAGGGTGTCTCTCCCCGCTGCCCCTGGCCCCAACATGCACACGCCATGTGCACATTCCCCGCAATTCCCCTGCCCACTCCCACACAGCCACCACCCAAAAGGCTTCCTGAAAACCAGGGAACCTCTCTGCCTTCAGGGGCTGCCCCCGCCCTCGGCCGGCGGTGGGGGGGGTGCTGGTGGAGGGTGGGGTCGGCTCAGAGCCAGACGCAGGGTGCAGCTCACCTCTCCCACCTCTGCCAGGTGACCTTGGGCGAAGCCCCCACCCCCCTCTTCCCTCCTGCCTTTCTTTGTGGACATTTCCACCGGCCTCTCTCTACCCCCACAGCCGCCGAGTCCTTCGACCACAAAAAGTTCTTCCAGATGGTGGGCCTGAAGCAGAAGAGCGCTGAGGACGTGAAGAAGGTGTTCCACATCCTGGACAAGGACAAGAGTGGCTTCATCGAGGAGGAAGAGCTGGGGTAAACTGAGGCTTGAGGGGCTGCTGCGGCTGGGGCTCGGCTCAGGGTGGGGGTGGGGGTCAGGACTGGGTCTGCCCTTCCCTCCGCTCCCTTCACGGAAACAGCCTGACCGCGGTTGCTTCCGGAAGAATAAAATCCTCAGCAGAAAGTGCAACTAACTAGGTTAAATTATAGCCGCTTAATATTGTTAGTGGAATGACGCTACTTAATAATTTAATACAATTCAAGAGGCCATTTTTCTCTGCCTAACACGGTAGGCGAGACAGACAGCACCAGCCCAAGTGTTTCGCAGATTTTCATTGGTCCACCGGACACTTCCCACCACCCTGCAGACCCCCGCCCTCTGCACCTGCTCGACCAGGGCAGTTCGGGGGGGCTGCGCCACCAGACCCAGGGGTGTGGGTATCTAGGTAGCACAGCAAAGGAGGAGAAGGTCATGGCTAGGAAATGCAAAATGGCAGTGGCAGCGGGACCTTCCTCCGCAGCCCCTTGGCCACCTGGCCCCTGTCGGCAACCCAGCCGGGCCCTGCGTGGCTCTCTGGCCGAGACTGCCTTGAATTTTGTCAGAAAGACACAGGGGGGAGGGCAGAGAGGAGCCTTTCAAGTGAGGACTTCCCCATCCACCCAGTCTTACCCCAACCATCCCAAAAGGATACCCTTTGTCTAGAACCTTCTCCTTCTATCCACTGGTGCCCCATGTGCACACGCGCGTGCGCGCTCACACAGGCTGACTTCTCCCTGTCCTCCAGGCGAGGAGGGCTCTTCCCCTCACGCCAGCTGTGACGGGTGCCTCCCTGGAGCACACACTCTGCTTCTCATCTCTGCATCCATCCCTCCGTGTGGTCTCTCTCCGAGCATTCGACCCCTCCTCATGTTTTCAGACGGCTTCCCAGGGTCATCTCTGTGCCCCCTCCCCATTTCCACCATGGCCCCGGCACAGAGAGGATACTTTTGTGTTGCTTGTCTTGGCTGAATAAATAAGCAAGCGCAGGCGCCCTGCCTGAAGCGAGGTCAGCCCTCGGCTGAGGACAGCCCGTCCTTCCCGCACACCCACCCAGGAAGGGCCGGCCCAGGCCAAGCGCACAGCTGCCCGCTGCTTGCTGCTGCTGTCCCTGCTCCCCACTGCCCCGCGTGGAAGCCGGCCCACCATCCACACAGTGTTCCTGCAAGGTGACCTTGACCTGACTCCCTCCCCGGCTTTTCTTCCCAGATCCATCCTGAAGGGCTTCTCTGCAGATGCCAGAGACCTGTCTGCTAAAGAAACCAAGACGCTGCTGGCCGCTGGAGACAAGGATGGGGACGGCAAGATCGGGGTGGATGGTGAGTAGCCATGGCCGGGGCCCGGGCACGTTGTGGATCTTGCGGTGTTTGGATGTTTGGAGCCTGGAACTGTGTCTGTCACAGGAAAGGGAGAGGGGGCGCCCCCCCCTCAAGATCAGATGAGAAAAGGCAGTCCGGGAGGTCTGAGAGCTCTGTCATGTAAGCCAGGCAAACAAAAACTGGGTTATTTTTTCTAAATTTGAACAATCTTTTTTGGAACAATCCCTACCTTGCAGCAAGGGAATCCAGGAGAATGTGGGATTTTCCCTGACTTTTGCCTACACGTTTCCCTGGGTTCTCATCCCTGCTCTGCCCACACTGGCTGTGTGACCTTGGGCCTTCTCTCTCCTTCTCGGGGCCTCGGTGTCCCATCTGAAACCCGAGCAGATAAGGCCAGCTGATCCCCCAGGACCCTGCCGGCTCTCGGCTCTCACGTTCTCAGGTTCCAGGGATGGAAATTCCTTATCTGCTATCCTCCGCAACATCTTGTCCGGGTGTCCTGTAACTTCAAGTCTCAACCCTGTTTTGGCTTCACCTGCACAGACCATTCCAGCATTGTAGGAGAGCCAGGAAAAACAGCCTGCCAGGGATTGGCTGGGAAGTAGGAAACGGAGTGTCTTGCTTTTCAAGCTTTGCTTTCAGGACAGGTGAGGGGCTGGTTGTCCAGCATCTCACCTCCTCCTCCTTTCCGATCTAACCCACATTTGCGGAGCACGTCCCAGCATCGTTCTCTTTCTTAGCATCACAACATCCCCGGGAGCTACCCACACTTCGCAGGTGGGCAAAGAGAGCTTAAGGTGCCTTAGCCTGTTCCAAGCGCCAGGACACAGGTGGTGGGTCAGGGATTCGAACCAGGTCTGAATAACTCTTCCTAACACGCTCTGCGACACCTGCCCCTAAAATAAGCTTTTCTGCCAGTCTAAGTGAACACTGTGTGCAGGTGCTTGGCCTCTAAGTCCAGGTTTTCTGGGATCAAATCCCAGCCGTGCCACTTTCTAGCTGTGTGACTTTGGGCAATTCAAGTACCAATGCTGGGCCTCAGTTTTCTCATCTCTGAACTGAGGACAGCGATAGTTCTTATCTCCTAGGATTGTCGTGAGGATTAGATGTGTCAATGCGTAAAGTGTTGAGAATAGTGTCTGGCCCAGAGTAAGTACTACAAGGTGTTTGTTAATTGTACCTGCCCTTCTGTCCCCAGTATCTAGCCCACACCTGACCCAAAGCAGACACTTGATAAACATCTGTGGCCTGAGGGTCAGGTCCAGCGCCCCTACTCAGCTTCCTCTCTGCCCTTCAGCAGCTGTGACCTTGTTCACGCTGAGGTCCCCTTGCCAGACAAATGGGGTGTACAGTTTTATCTCAAGAACTGCTCAGGCTTGTTGTGAAAATTAAATAACTACAGACCGAAATTGCTTTGGGAAAGGTACAAGGATGCTGAGCGTAGATGTAGTTTATTAAAGTTTTATGTCAGAAGCAAGAATAGAGGACCTCTAGCAAGGTCAGGCACAGTGGCTGCCTGGCTCTGTGGTGACAGCAGCCCTTTCTGTGGCTGCAAAGGAGGGAGGGGGCTTAAAGGGGCCAGAGTGGAGGGTGCCGGGGAGAAATCGGTGGCCGGCGCACCACCCCCCACCCCCATGAGTGGCCCATCTCCCCACATCCCCGTCCTCGCCGAGCCACTTCCTCCTCAGACAGCCGCCCTGAGCCTGGGTTCCCGCCACGACCCCACCCCAGGCCTCCAGACCTGCCTCCCGTTTTTATTGCAGCCAATATGCCACAGCTCAGAAGCCCTCGGCGGGGTCTTCATGGCTGGCTGCTCACCACCAACCTAAACGAAGAAGAAAAGCCAGGCCAGACCCCCGCCTGCTTCCCCGCTCCTCTCCGCACCCCCCGCCCCTCCCTCTGATACCACAGAGCTCTCTGGACTCTCAGAGTTACCTCTCCCTGGGCTTGTCAGTGGGGGAGGGAAAAGTGAACGAGGCCCAGCTCCCAGTGGCACCTTTTCCCCGCCAGGTGCCCCTGAGCAGCAGCTCAGTGACCCTGAGCTTCAGTGTCCCCATCTGTAAACTGGGATCTTGGGAGGCATCCATGGCACAAGGCGTGAGAGCGCTGAGTGCAGTGCCCAGCATGTAGCGAGTGCCCTACAAACGGCCTGGAGATGCTCCTTCTGCTCTATCTGCACGTCGCTGGCAGCTCTGTGTGTGTGCACGTGTGCATGTGCGTGTGCGTGTGCGTGTGTGTGTGTGTGTACAATACCAGAAAGAGGCTGGGAGGTGCGGGCACAGCTGTGGAGAGGGACAGACCTCGGGCAGGGCCGGCGGCTGTTGGCAGGGATGCCGCGGGCTGGGAGGGCAGGGGCAGGGGGGCCAGGCAAGGCGTTGGTGCCAGCAAAGGCACTGAGGCTGGGGAGTCCAGGGCATGTTTGCCAAGAGGCAAGACAATTGATTTGCCCAGGGTGGTGTTTGCTCAGAGAAGTGTTACCAGGGTGTGTGATGTGTGCCCAGCCCTGTGCTGGAGTCTACACAATTGTCACCTCATTTAACCTTGAGATGACAGAGGACACGAGTGTAGATGCAGAGAGAGCAGCTCCAGCACCCAAGGTGACAATGGATTCAAACCCAGGTCTGTCTCAGCACAACACGGGCTCAGGCCAACCTGGTGAAGGCGTGGGGGTCAGGGCCGAGCACAGCAGGGTGGCAGGGAGGGGGAATGAAAAGGGCCGGGGGGCGGGTCACCCCGAGGCAGCGGGGCCCCGCTTCCTTGGTGAAAAGATGGAGATGCCTCCCCCTGCCCACTTCCACCCCCGGACACAGTACTTTTTCTGGAGGGGGAGGGGGGCCTGGGGTGATGACGCCCACCAGATGGCAGCGAGATGGGAGGCAGCGCCCGCTGCGGGGCCCCAGGAGGCTCTGTTTCTGGGACTTGCTCTGCTGCCCGCTCCCTCCAAAGGCTGAAGGGTCTGTGTCTTTCCACCTGCCGGAGGACGTCTTCAACTCCTGGTGGGACTTGGGCAAGTCACAGGACTTGGGGTCCCTTCCAGCCCTGGGGACTCCATGGGCGTCCCCGTGAATGAACCTCTACAAGAGGCTCAGCTTGGCTCGTAGGCTCGGTTCTGCCACTTCAAATCATGGCAACAGCGACATTTAACCTCACATAGCACTGACTGTGTGCCACGCACAGGGCTTAGCATTTTACTCACTGAGTCTTCCCGGCTCCCTGTGAGGGGGACACTATTACCACCCCCATTTATCAATGAAGATGCTGAGGCTCAGAGAGGCTAAGAGCTTGCCCCAACTCTCACGTCTTGGAAGAGACAAGTCCAAGATCTGAGGTCAGGTCTGTCTAGGCCCTAAGCACGTGCCAGGGCCGCCCACTTCATGCATTCATTCAAAGTTTAATGAGCTTCAGCCGTAAGATGATTTATTTATTGACTTATTGCTCGCTTCTGTCAGCCCCACGAGAGCAGGGACTTTATTCCCTTCTGACCCAGCACCTAGGAGAGGGCCTGGTACATAGTAAGGGCACGAGAGAAGTTGGGTGAATGAATGAATGGGTGAGTGAAGATGTGTCCAGCTCTGGGAGGCGATGGCGAGGAAGCGTGGCGTGCTGGGAGAGGCCAGCCGGCTCCGGCTGGGGGCTTGCGTGTGGCAGGTGCTGGGGGATTCCAGAGGCAGGGCTGCCACCGTCTCCAGCGCCGTGTGCCCTTCTGAAGGCGAGTGATATTTACCATGTTCTTTAGAATCCCAGCTTGAAGGGAAGGAGCAGAACGACAAAGTTCTAATAATAACCCTTTGCATTCCCATCTCTGGGAAACTAGTGCCAGGAATCTCAGACTCTTATAGATGCGGTCGATTGATTCTCAAAGGCCACCCAAGCGCAGAGCTGCTAAAGGGGGGGTTGGAGGCAGAAAAGAAGCTGGACCGAGGTGGGAGCTGCCCGAAAACCCAGCTGCAGTTGCAAATTCTGGGCACAAATAGCAGGCAACAGTAAGTGGCAGCGTCCTTCTCAACTTCTTGTCCTGAGCAATGGGGGGTCGAGAGTTAGAGTCGCCCAGAGCATTTTTGACAACACAGAAGGTGGTGCCCCGTCCCTAGATCTTCTGATTCCTTAGGTCAGGGGCGGGGGGCCCACAAGCCACGGTTCTACCAAGTCCCCAGGTGGTGCCGATAACCCGGGGACCATACTTTGAAAGCCACAGCGGCACAATACTCCTAGAAAGTAGGTGCCCTTACTCTTCCCGTGTTACAAATGAGGAAGCGGAGGCACTGAGAGGGACGTGGCCAGGGTCCCTCAGTAGCAAAGCCAGGACCAGGGCTCGCAGTCCAGCCAGGACCCTCTCCACACCTGGCGTGTGTCCCGGGCCCGGCCTCCCCACATCCAGTGCCTGCTGCGTGGAACGCACAGGTGGGCAGGAGCAGCGGTTACCATCCAAGTGGCGCTTCCTGGGCTCAGGAGACTGCACATGGGCCTTCCCTCTTTTAGCTTGACCGGTCCTCAACAGTGCTTGAGACGAGGAAGCTGAGGCTCAGAGATGAGGGGTGACTTGCCCAGGGTCACTCAGCTGCTCAGCAGTGGGGTCCAAGCAATTCAAACATTGACACCCTGACCCCAAATAGCTCGTCCCCACCCCCCACCCCCCACCCCCCACCCCCATGCTGCAGACAACAGTGTGCACCCGCCCCATGCACACACCTGCGCATGCTCCTGGCTACTGTCTCCCTGAAACCCGATCCTGTCTCCTATGCTTCAGGCCTGTTTTAACTCGAGAGACTGTGGTTTGCTTTTTGCTTCTCTTGCTGAAAAATGTAGTCATCACAACCACCTAACCTTCGCAGGCGGCTTGGTTCACGTGCCTCCAGGCATTTGTCTATTCCGCTTCCTCCTGGCAAAATCTGCTCCCTTTTATCCTTAAGGAGCCTGTTTAATACTTAACATGGGAGGTGGGAGTGAGGAGGGGAAGCCCAGGCAGAAACACCTGAAGTCAGGCAGGAGCTGCACCCAAA